ATATATTTCTCTAAACACAGCTGTTAACAAAAGCTTATTCATAGACATACAGCTAAGAACCAACTAAAGGAGGTTTGGCTCAAATTATAATATTGAAGTGGTAATAAGAGCTAATGTTCATACAGCATGTTGACATCCCTTAACTGTAAATGGGAACATGGGCAGCCTGGACCACGAGGGAGGCCTACCTCCATTAGACCAAGAGGGCACAGATGCTGCTGGTGTCTAGAGGAGGCCGGGGAATTGCAATCCCTTTCAATGCAAGTGATGGGCCTTGACTATGAATAACATTTATACAGCTCTATATAAACAAGGGATACTGACTTATCCAAAAATGGCAGATGTAATTATCTAGGGGGAGAGAAGTATAGAGGGTAAGGAAGCTAAATTTTCCTCTCCGACACAAACAAGTCAACAGACCCTTCTTGAAGCCAAGAATGTCTTGCGTAGGAATATAGGGGTTGATATCCCAAAATAATGGGTCAAAAGTAAAACAGGTGGCTATGGGGACACAGGTAAAGGGCAGGGACTATTTTCATTCTAAGTTCTATATAATTGTTTGATTTCTTGGAAGTACATACATGCACAACTTTGATAAAAATTTTAAATTTGTTTAATTTGAATTACTAACACAAAGAAATCAAAATTAAAAAGATGTCTACATTTCTTGGGCCAGAAAAATAGTGGAGGTCCCCATTTATTAACATAATCACCTTCTTTTTTTTTTTTAAGATTTTATTTATTTATTTATCTTTAGAGGGGAAGGGAAGGAGAGAGGGAGAGAAACATCAATGTATGGTTGCCTCTCGTGGGTCCCCTACTGGGAACTGGCCTGCAGGAAACCAGCCTGTAGCCCTGGCATGCGCCCTGACTGGGAATTGAACCGCAATTGTCTGGTTCACAGGCCCGTGCTCAATCCACTGAGCTACACCAGCCAGGGCTCATAATCACCTTCTTGATGGGGTGCCCCGGGACTGCCATGCAAAGGGGCAGTTTGCCAAGCCCAGGAAGCCAGTCTGGAGAGCCTGACAATACAGGGTGGTAGGGGGTGGTAGGGGCTGCAAAAAGTCACTTGTCCTCCTGCCCAACACACCAAGTGACTACATGAATAACAGAACTGGAGAATATCACCACAGACCCGCCGCCACCCCCCAGGCCAGGAAGGAGAGCCATTACCACCACCACGCAGTATAACATCTGAGGCCTAATCAGAATTCAAATTAAGCACTACAGGAATTCAGAGAGGAAAACAGTCCATTAAGGCTTAGTGGGAAGGTAAGGAAAAGCGCCGCCAACGATGGAGCCCTCGCCGGGTCCTAAGGGATGCACGAGAGGTCAACAGGTAGAGATGGAGAGGAAACAACCTGATAAAGGCTAGAAGGGAGGGAAGAGATGGTGCGGGAGAACAGATGAAAATGGGATGTGGTCTAAACTGCATCAAACAGCACACCTGACGCTACTGCTGCCCCACTTCAGCTGCCAGAGTGCAGGCAGGGCTGGGAGTTCGTTTAGGGGTTTCCGGCACAATGCGAAACTACTGATACAATCAACTTCAATACAGTAAAAAGGGTGTGCCTCTTAAATTACCTAATTTATAGGAATACGCTTTTCATGTTTAAACTGGCCTGTTTTGCCTTGGACAGACTCTTACATGCCAGACACTGCTGTTTATCTTATAATTAGGGGTACCCCCCGTGATGCCCTCAAGGTTTCTGCACCTCCTTAGCTTTGTGCCAGTGGATTCTGTCAACACTTTTTCCTTAAAATCCCCCAAAGTGTTGAATGCATGAGACTTAGAGATTTGAGTTCTGGGTACCTCCAGTTCTCCCTTCAGCTTGCAAAATGGAATGCCATTATAAATATACATGTTCTTTAAAAAATATTTTTCCTTTGACATTCTTGTGTAATATTTGCTATTTTTGACATTGCCACCATCATTTAATCCTACGAAACAGAACCAAGTTTTATCTGCAAAACCCCAAATACTGATCCTGATTAAAATATACACATTTGACTTAAAGTTTCTCTGTATCTGAGCTAGTTCTAGCAGTTACTGGATTACACACAAACAAACAAACCTATTTTTGCACATCAAACTGAGTATTTATAAAAGACAGTTTACTTTTTATCATGGATCTCAAGCCTTCCAAAATAAAAATAAGCATATTAACTTTTACTCTGGCCTTTATCAACATTTGGAAGTCCTGTTTATAAAAGAAACCGAGTGTTGTAAGTAAAACTAGGAAGAGAAAAATCAAGAAATCAACACATCTTCACTTTGTATTATTTTAATCACATAAGTAAAAGAGGCAGGTACTGAAGATTAAAAATGGACAAACTATCGTGCCCGCCTTCACCAGCTCCTTGACACTGGGAGAGACACGGGGGAACATTTCCCAGACACAGGTTCCACACCTCAGGCGCCATCTCAGGCCCCGGGCTCCTACGGTACCTACATTCAAAAGGTGACTAATAAATATTACTTGGTTAATTAGATGAAAAGATGCATAAAATCTGTCATTTCAAAGGTATTTTTTGCTTAGGCTGATGCTCTAAACATTTACTTTTTAAGATGACTCCATAAAGCAAAAATCAGACATAACTAGAGCAGATGTATATGGATATAATAAAAAGTGAGAGGCAGGTACATCAATGGCTGAAATTCTAGAAACAGAGCTAAAATTCAGAACAAAGCTAGATGAAAGAAGAAGATTATTCCAGAGATTTAGTACAGCAGAGGAAAAGGCATAAGCCCAAACAAGAAGGCAAGAACCATCGATAACTGTGGAAAGTCCAAATAGGTTAGTACTGCTGTTCAGGGCAAGACATGGCAGAAGATGAGCTGTGTCATCATCACACAGCTCCAGGTCTGCCAGATGGAACAGCATGAACTTGTATTGTAGGAGACAAGGACCCACGAAAAGCACATGCTCATGCTCATCAAGCTCGTATTTTAAAGGGATCCCTCCCGTGGGCGACTAGAGGGCAGTTACTGCTGGTGGGGAAGAGATGGGAGGCAGGGAATATAGGCAGAAAATGTCCTTGGGTTTGGAGGAAACCATAGACAAGAAACATTCAGGTGGCAAAAAAATCATCCGGCTCTGGTGATGGACTGGACAGGAGTGGGTGAGAGGGTGAGGAGGATGTCACGGAGGTAGCTTGGGTGACCAGTAGACAATAGCACCAAACAGGGGGAACTCACAATCAAGGGGAAGTTTTGAGGGGTTTTGTTTTATTTTGTTTGATAACGAAAATACACATGATTGATAAGAAGCGTGCTACCCCAATACAAAAGGAAATAAATAGGTAAAGCAAGTAAAGGTGATACTATAAGTCCAAAACTGGATGACTTCAAAGTAAACAGAATATAGAAGACCTGGGTCCTTCCTCCTGAAAGACACATTATGATTTCATCGACTGAGTGACAGATAAGAGTAGGGTCCTGGCAATAATTGGTTACATAAAAATAATCCAGCCCTGGCCAGCGTGGCTCAGTTAGTTAGAGCATTGTCCCATAACCAACAGGATGCAGGTTCCATTCCCAGTCGGGGTACATGCCTGGTTGCAGGTTTGATCCTTGGTGCGGGTACATACAGGAGGCAACTGACCAACGCTCCTCTCTCACAGCAATGTTTCTTTCTCTTCCCTTCCTCTCTTCCCTCTTCTCTAAGAAACTGTGAAAAAAATGTCCTCGGCAAAGATAAAAATTAATAAAAATCATCCAAAAACTGGGGTCAAACAGGGTGCTCCAAAACCATATTTAAAAGGAAGGGGTAACCTGAAGAAAGATTAGGAGACTCAACAGCACTAATTCAAGAGAAATATGTCAGAATCAAAGTTATAATAGACCAGGCACTGAGTCCACCCTAAACAGACTTAGGATGCTCAGTGCATCCTCTCCTTTCACAGTTACCTCGTCCACCGCTGACAGAGACTCTCGGGTGAAGAGCTACTTGCACGGCCTACCCACTTCTTTCCCTGGTACTGAAATGAGAAATGTTCTGATCTGTTTTACTCTCAAATATTTGTTGAGTGTCCAACTAACAAGGAGCTAGTTGAAGCCGTGTGAATTACAACTTGAAAAAGCTTCCCAATAAACACAGAATCTATTCTTACAACAGCTTCACTGGAAGAGGTCACAGCTAGGCATGGGAAAGGTCGCGCCTCCTGCCTCCTGCAGGCTGGAGCTCTCACTCGGGGTCACTCACTCCTCTCTCTCTGTACCCAGTTTCATCCCGGTTGCCGTTTGGTGAAACCTCGATAATTTGTAACCCTAAGCACAAATCAGATCTAACTTACACAATCACATCGCAGAGCTGGGCATCTCTAGTACTCGACATTCAAACTATTGGCACAATGTCAGCATTTCATAGAGAACTTTAAATGTTTTGGTTTGAGAGCTAATGCAGTATTTCTACTGGTCAACACAAGCAGCCCAGGCAGAAAGCAAAGTATATTTATTTCCCTCAACATCAGATGTTATACTCAGCTGCTGATCCAATCTTGCCTACAGAGCCCGTAAGAGACTTGAAAAATTGGTAAGTAAGAAAAGTCCATCTAATGCAGAGTATACTTAAAGAATATTTGTAATTTCAATGTAAAATGGCTTTTTGTGCTTCTAATGTCCCGAAAATGTTTTAATGGATGTAATGTCTAGTGATAGACTGACAGGTGAGATTAGACTTTTGCAGGTTCTGAGACTAAATCAATTACCTTTCCCCTGTAAATGTTCTTTTTAATTGCAAAAAGCAGGCTTTTCTTCCATGCATTGGTACATTAGACTTTAGAAAATTCCTACTTTAAAAAAATTATAAACTTATTGTTTATAAAATATAAGAAAGTGTTGTGTGTATGTCAATAATGAGTTAAAATCAGTTTGGGTATGATGAAGAGCACCGATACAGCTGGGATATGATGTAATCCTTAGAGCTAAGGGAGTCCAATAAAAAACTGAAATGCTAGAGAAAAAAAAATAAAAAAGAAAAACAGAAGGTTTGGTCTAAGAGCACAAAAGGCCACAACCTCACTGAAAACTAAAACCAAAGCTGAAATACTTCATGCAAGGAAGCATTTAAAGTCTCTTCTGAATTGCTAACTGCCTGGGCTACTGGTGTGGACCTAATGGTGAGTCACAACTGATTTTTCAAGGGAAAAAACGAGTTAAATAAGCCTCGCAGCTGCTGTTTTAGCTCTCGTTGATGTCTGAGTTTTTGATTTCCACGTTCTTGCTTCTTAACTTCTGATTTCTTCCTGAGATTTCACAGACATTTAAATAGCAAGTACTTATAGCTTTTTAATTTCTGGATGGCAAGGATAAACAACAATTTGTCAGATTTATTCTATCGGTTGTTCTTCTAGAAACTGTATGTATGGTAAATCCCATAAAATCTAGACAAGAAAGTGATACTAAAATGTAATTTGTGCTTAGAATGTACTTCAGTTTATTTTCCAGCCAAAAAGAAAAAATATTATTTTAAAGAACTGCATTTTCCAGAAAATGATAAGAATGCTACATGAAGGGCAGGGTTTTAGAAGGCGATTTACAAACCAGGTGCACCTCACCCACTGCTGTGAAACAAATTTTAAACAACTCAATTGAGTGTTTTTTAAAGTTCTGACTCTTCTTAACAAATGACTCTTTAAATGGAGAAACTGCAACCTCTTAAGTCGTCTCTCCAATGCATTTTTATACCTACCAATTTTCTTGCAGTTTTCTCCACTTAAAGAAAGCATTCACAAGAGAAAATCCCTCTTTCTAAACAGAACACAGACATACAGACATTTGAATATACAGGGCCCAGCACAAATAGCGCCCCTTTTTTATTACACAATCATTTATTACAAAATCATAAGCATGCGATTCTGTAACCTAACAATATCACACTCAGGCACATCTTATGACATTTTAGGTGAAATGTTCAAATTAAAACTATAAATCGCCACACCCACACTATCACCCTACCAGCCACACTCACCCAGGAGTTACTTCTGCCGGACCCGTGTGTACAGATCATGCACTTAACATAATCAAAGTGAACAGACTAGCATTTTCAACTTCCCTCTCTGTCCTAAACAACTCTGCACAGTAGCACCACCAATGTAAAAAAAGATACTTCATCACCTTCAGTGCTTCTTCAACATCAAACATCTCACTGGCTGCTAGGGATTACCATGTGTCATCAGATAGTTTGGGAAGAAAGTCAGAATAAAGGTTTATTCTGGTAAACATAACCAAGATCTAGGCTTACTTTTTGCCATATGCCCTCTGGTACAATATATAGATTTTTTAAAGACCATAAATGTGTAATTTTACTAATAACTATTAAATGTGTTAGCATTAACCCTATAACACTGCCATTTTTGTAGATAAAAAAGTCAAATATCAGTAAGTTCATGAGTCAACTTAATCAAAAACAGTCAGAGTCTCCAAAGGCAGCCTCAGAAGTCAAGGGGCGAGGAGACCAACACCAACGATGATTTATGTCACTGTTACACGACAGTGTAACAGGCCTGACTTGCCCCGTACACACAGTCCTCGGCCTCTACAGCCTTCACACAAATACTGCATCAGAAATGGGGGTTTCCAGCAGCCGAATCACATGAGGAAAGACATTCTATTATTGGCTCTATTTTACGGATTAGAAAACTAGGGTCCAGAAAGTTTCAGTGACGCAAGCAAGATAAAACAGCTAACAAAGGCCTCAAGGACAGTGTTCACAGAAAAGTCATCTGGCTCCAAGTCCACTGGCTAGTGCACCTACCCCACCTTGTCTCTGACCTAAGGAGGTAAATGTATAAACCTGTATACAGCTATAAAGAAAATAAAAACATGGTGAGAGGCTGGGAAGGCCTAGGTAGGGAGGGGGTTGACTGTTAGATGCCGTGAACAGGGACGGCCTCCCTGAGAAGGTGACATTTTAATGGAGACCACTATGAGGCAGCCACTCTGAGATGCCAGAGATAGACAACCACAGACAGAGATGCCAGGGCTCCAGGTCCCTCTGCCCCGGTGAGTGTGTTTTAGATCTTCCTAGGCTGGGGCTTCAGTACCACCGTGGCGGTGTTCTGGAAGCACATTCACCTGGGTATTCCTGCTATCCCCAGGCTGTGCCTGACGAAACTCAGTCGGTCATGTGTGCAGATCCTTGTCAATGGCCCTCACCAGTTTACGAAGGACCAGAAGCCTTTTGTGATTTACTGGGACAGAAAAAGTACCTGCTCAGTGCTTTGCCAGACAGATGAGGAAAAGCTCCAGGGGATAGCTAGGTGGGTAAGTTTTGGATCTTATTTTATTTTTTATTCTAGTGGGCCAAAAGAGCTAAGCAGAACAATAATCTACATTCACAATGAATATTGGCTCACTTGCCAAAGACACAAATATCTGCTGCTTTGCTTTCTCCACACCCCCCGCCCCATACACACAAACACACCTGACTTTTTCCACAGCCTAATCACGTCAGTGACATTCAGGAGATAAGGGAAAGCTTTTTGGCACATTTGCTGCTACCAGCTGAAGGTTCACATTCTCGGTGAAAGAGTCACCGAGCTGAGGAGAGGGGAGAGGTCTGTGCTCTCCACTGGACAAGGAAGTCAGCAGCAGGGTCAGTGATAGTCCAAGCTACACTGACCTTCTATGTGCCGGGCCTCTCCCGCCACCTCCCAGAGGGGAGGCAGGAAACCAAAGGAAGAACACACAAGTTAGATGCCACAGCCACTGAGGGCTCGGAGGAGCTGGGTTCCAATCACAGGCGCTCTGGTGACCACATAGGAAACATGCCCAAGACACTAAGAACCTTCATCTGCTTTCTTCCTGTGTAAAAGAAGGAAGTTTTAGGTAATTTCTTAGAGAAATTTATGTAACTGCTCGGTTAGGTGAAAATACAAAGTTCCTCTCTCCACGAGGTACAGACGAGCTAAGAAACACACATCTTTTCAACAAGAAACAACATCTCTAGTAGTTAAGGCTTTAGAATGACCCTGACCTGCATTCAAATCTCAGTTCTATAACATGCCCATTGTGACACCTTGGACAATTTATTCAAGTTCTTTAAACTTCGATTTCCTCAAATGGCAAATGGAATTACTTCCTTCTTATCAGGACTACATGAGGACTTAAAAGTGAATACCTGTAGTTCATTCATTTCCATTGCTAAATAAAACTTCACTAAATAATGGAGGTTTTTTTTACCCATTTTCCTGTCAATAATCATTTGAGCCATTTCCACATTTTTGCTATTACAGTGTTCCATGAGCATCTTTTTACATGTTATTTGATGTGCTTCTGTAAGAATTTTCTAGGGCATATACCTAGGAATCAAAACACTCAGCTATGGGGTTAATGAATGTTCAACTTTTCCAAATATTTCCAATGCCTTTTAAAAAGTGATAAAATTAGAAACAAAATGCTGAACAGGGGATTTTTTTTTTTAAGTCCTGGAAGACTACACACAACATGAGCAATTTTTACAGTGAAATACATATGCATATGGATTAAACTCATTTGTTTTAGCCTTGGCGGTGTTGCTCAGTTGGTTGGAGTTCATCCTGTGCACCAAGTAATTGTGGGTTTGATCCCCTAATGGGGTGTGTATGGGAGGCAACCAATGATGTTTCCCTCACATGGATGTCTCTTCCTTCCTCTCTCTTTAAAATCAATAAAAGATTTAAAAAAATAGCCCTGGCTGGTGTGGCTCAGTGGATTGAGCGCCAGTCTTTGAACCAAAGGGTTGCAAGTCTGATTCCCAGTCAGGGCACATGCCTGGGTTGTGGGCCAGGTCCCCAGAGTGAAGCACGTGAGAGGCAACCACACATTGGTGTTTCTCTCCCTCTCCCTTCCCCTCTCTCTAAAAATAAATAAATAAATTTTTAAAAAGTAAAATACTATTTTAAAAAGCCCCATATCCTCAGGGGAGTATTTTTTTTAATGACTTGTTTTAAAGGGAGGAAATGCAAAACCCACATTCAGGACACAGTTACCTCTGGAAGGTGACAAAGGAAAGGTAAGGAGGGCAGCAGGAAGTCTGAGAGGCAGCAATGCATATGCTGTGTGTCAGGCACTGAGCTCAGGACCCTTCCTTCGAGACTAACACGTACACATGCAATACATACATATGTTTGTATATATACACACATGTATGCATAATACTGTAACATATCAGCAAAAAAGTACATGTCTACCCAAGTATTCATACACACATATCCCTTCTTTTCCTGAACCACTCTGAAAATGAACTGCAGACCATCATGACCCTTCCTTCCTAAACACTCCACATGAATCTCTGAAGAATAAGAACAGTCTCCTGCCTAAACACACCATGAACATACCTAGAAAGAATGACCCATGAATACCATCGAATAGAGTCTGAATGGAAATTTGGACAGCTGTCCCAAAGCAATTTCTATAGCTGTATCCTCTATTTCCCTCAATGGCCAGTCACAGCTCAATTATTTCATTATTTTTCCCAGCCTCTTTTGATCTACAACGGCTCCTGCCCACCCCTTCACGTTTGCTTGCTTTCCATGAACTTGATGTTTTAGAGAGTCTAGGAAGATTGTTTTACAGAATATTTCACACTCTGAATCTACCCGACAGCCGATCTGTGACTTAGCTTTTTGACAATGTACGTTGCGTGCATCTAATGGAATCATATCAGGAGACACAAAATGCCAAGTTATCCTATTTTTGATAAGTTTGGTCATTCAGATATCCCTGCTAAAATTGTGTAATTTTTTTCTTTATTATTCTAAATAATCTGGGAGTGATCCTTTAATACCAGAATATCCTGTGCTCCCAAGACATTTCCCCAAATGGCTTTTTCACAGGAGAATGTTCCCTGAGTCAGTTATTACACTAAGGTTGCAAAACAGTGACTGTCTAATTCTCCCATCCCTTCTGTACTTTCTAGCTGGCTTTGTTTGGTGAGGAACTCCCTCCATTTCACCCTCTCTTTTTTAAAATCACATTTTTTTTTCCTTAATTTATTTTATCTTTGTTGTTCAATCACACTTGTCCCCATTTCCCTCCATTACTCTTCCCCGTCCTACCCACCCCCACCTCCCACGGTCAATCCCCACCCACGGGGATTAATTTTTGTCCATGGGTCCTTTATACATGTTCCTTGACA